GCACAGAGCTGGTCTCCTGGCAACAGTAGCAAACCTCCCGCCTCCTTCCTTGTGGCCCATGTGGTGAAACTGGGGGCAGGGCCATAAACGGTGGTGACTTTGCAGAGGAGGGGTGGTGAGCCTGGGTGGACTGGGGTGGGATACAGATAGGAGGTGGGACGAGGACATTCCCCTCTTGGGTGGAGCCACAAGCTTAGACTCAGAGCCTCAAATGGACACTTTCGGTCATAATTAAAATCCCACCAGTGCCTCTGCGCAGAGTGGCCATCAGCTTGTGCTTTCACAGGAGAAGAATAGGATGGGGAACGAGGAAACTGAGACAGCACTTATCACATGCTTCTGCTGAGTGCTTCTGCTGAGTGCTTCTGCTGAGTGCTTCCCGTGAATCATTTTCATTTCTCACAAATACCTGCCAGGTAGGCCTTATGAGATACCAGTGCTTGAATGGAAGGCCCCAGAATCACAAGCACCCAGTGGAGGAGCAGCCCTCCAGAGCATCTGACTGGTCAGCCCTGCCTCCCGGCCGCCCTCGCCTCCCCCGATGTCCCTCACCTGGCGGGACCAGTGGCCGCTCCTGGTTCTGGGTGTTGTAGCTCTTCCAGCTGTACTGCGGGGCCGGGGAGCCCTCTGCTGACTGGCAGGTCAGCTGGATGTTGTTCCCAATCACTGTCTCTCCCTCAATGCCGCAGTCTGGCTTGGAGGGTGGCACTGGGAAGGAGAAGGAGCACGTTGGATGGGGTGGGCYGCCACCTGCCTCCCCAACACACATCCACGCACAGACCACCGTGTTCGTTCCCAGGCCGAGGAATCTGCGCTCGGTGGTGAGATGGGACGCTGGGAGATCACTTCACTTCACTGCCGAGAGGCAGCACGGACGTGGCCAGCATGGTGTCCGGCAGGGGCACCCCAGCTCGGATCCTGTGCTCTCTACTTCAGAGTCACGGGATTTTGAAGGCAGTCCAATGTGGCCATCATAAAGATGGGGAACTGAGGCCCAGAGGGGACACCTCTCATGGGTGCTGGTGAGCTGGGATAGCCCCCAGTTCTCCTGACTGCAGACCCAGCGCCCACTGCACACCCCTCGCCACGTTGGRGAAATCCCACTCCCTCAGGTCCCCCACCTTCCAATCTGCAAAATTAGGGACATCACACCTCTCCGTAGAGGGCCAGAGGCGATGCTTTTACATCTGTGGACTGCGTTACTGCGACTGCTTTTTAAATAACGCTTTAGACCTGCGGAAACAGGCAGTGGCCTGGACCTGGTGTTGGCCACCCCTCGGTCAAAGGCTCTCGAGAGCCCTTCAGCTCTGACCTCTCAGTGACGTTCTCTGGTTTTGCTTTGGCCCCTTCCCGCATTGTGCTCAGAAAACACATCACTGCCCTGGCTGGATGGCAGGAGGGACCCTGGGCAGCCCCAGAGGTGTCCACTGAGACCAAAGGGACACAGGGGCAGGGATAAGAAAGGGGAGCCCCAGCAAAGAGGTTGCAAACCYACAGGCCACCAACAACCCACATCCTCAGCTACCCACAGCCTCCCTGGGGCCTGGAGCCTTTCCCCCAGCGCCCTCACAGGCCACGGTGCAGGGTGCGTCAGCAGGCCTGCCTTACTGGGCACTGTCATGCTGAAAGTGCTGGACACTGCGCCAGGAAACCCCGGGGGCAAAGGACAAGCAGTCTCACTGCCTCCAGGCAGACAGCCAGGCCCACTCACACACGGCTGGGACATGAAGGAGAGTGGGGGTACAGGAGGCTGACAGTGGAGGTGGGTGGGCCAGAGGAGAGACGGGGCACTCCAGGCCAGGCTGACAGAAGGCTCTGTGTGTGAAGGCTGGAGCTTGCTGGAGGCCTCCGGCAGCGGCCTGAGGGTGGGGGAGAACACATTCACACGCCCCCCTGGGATGGCTCGCTTGCTGTTGAACAATGCCACCACTTCTGCCATCCATGTGCACAGTCACTGAGCATTGATTGTCATCCCAATCTGGGCCCCACCCGGAAGTTACGGGGAACAGCTGTCCAGGACACACCTTCCTGCCCTGGCCAGCAGCTGCAGTGCTCTCTGAAAACAGGTGTGTTGCTGGGTGTGTCTAACATCCCTGGCTGCCAGGGAGCCAGCCAGGCATGAGGAGGAAGGACAACACATCAGACGCACTTGCTCATTCTGCTCCCAGGAGGACAGTCCCTAAACCTAAGGGGCAGAGGGATCCAATCCAGTCCTCCTATATGCCGGCCCAGTTCCCCAGGATTGAGCAGCATGAACCCAGGGAGGCTGCCACCCGAAGACCATGAACCAGCTGCCTTCTTGCCCACTTTGGGGATGAGAGGTCCCTGGGGGACAAGAGGAAGTGACATTTCCAAGGAACCAGGACAAGCCTGCTGCTTCTCTCTTGAGCTCCAGGGGGGTGCAGAACAGGGCTCTCTGCTGCCCGACCTTTCCCTCTTGTTCCCAGGCAGCCTTCACCAGGAGGCACGGCCCTCAGGCCACAGGGGAGCCGGCAGGAGCACCAACACCTGGAGGAGCCCCAGCCGGCCAGAGTCCCACCAAGTCCCACCAAGTGTGGGGCTGCACCTAGAGCCCTGCTAGGCCAGGTAGCTCCGTGAACTGCGACAAAGGGGAAGGGGAGTAACCAAGGCCAACTGCATCTCCAGAGGCATTAAAGGAGGAGGAGGAGGGGGTGGGGTGGGGATGATGATGATTCTGGAGCATTCCAAGACCCTCGTGATGGGGAAAGCCTGGAAATCACATCCTGAATTTCTCAGGAGCCCAATTTGAGATGATGGCAAGAAGGCAGCAGCCAGCCCCAGGAGGTGAGCTTTCCACAGCGCCCTGGCCTCTGCAGGCCGCCCCTGCCCTCAYTGGGCTCCCACCAGAGGCAGGGCCACCTCCACCGAGCAACACGTGMGCCGGTTCTGCCTCCAGGGCATCTGGAGCATCCCTGGGAGGCGGGACGCCTCGCCCCCGCTGCAGACGCCAGGGGGCGCCAGAGGCCGCGCGGGCGCTGCGCACCTGCTCCAAGATCCAGGGACCCACAGCAGGCCACCGCGCAGCCGGCAGTCTCCGCCTACCAGCYGCCTGCGGAAGAAAACTTCCAAGAATTGTTCCTAGCATGTAGGACAAAGTGATCTCTTTCTTTTTAAAAGCAAAACATCGATTTCACTGAGTGATGTGTTTCAGATGGAACTTGTGTCCTTCACCCTCAGGCTGGCTCTTGACACRGAGTGAAAGGACCTGGAGCTGTTTAACCCCAACATAGACATGTCTCCGTGTGTGTGCGCGCGCGCACTGGGGTTATATGACAGCATTGTCCCTGTGGGGAAATGGCAACCGCCTTGATGTGCACCCTAGGAAACGGTTGAATAATCCTAGTCCATCCAGGTGGCAGAGTTTACCCCGTGACTGGGTGGGTCTATCTATGTTGATCAGGAGAAATGTGCATGAAGAATAAAGGAGAATCAAGTTGCTCCTGCTTTGGAGCCTGAGGGAGCAGGAGGACCTGCTGGCCTGGCCCGGGGGGCCCACAGAGGAGGGTGGAGTGGTCTTGCGGTGGTCTGTGYAGCACTAGCTTGTGTGGCTGTGCAGTCCGGCTCCCTGAAATGCTTTCAGCCAAGCATCCCCTTATGCAGTTAGAAATAAAACACTGCCAGGTGCTGAGAAGGGGAAAGAAACAGAAAAGTGACCTTTTAAACAGAAAAAGGTCTGACGAGTCGCTGCCTCCCGGGGCAGGGCTGTTCCTCACAGTGGCCTACACGGCGCCCACGGGGTTTTGTCAATACTGGCTTTGAGAAGTTGCTTTCTTCCCCTCTGTCTCATCTGAAAACCGAGGGTCCTGAAGTAGATGGTCTTTTGGGCCCTTCCAAAACCATCCATTCCCATAAGTCACTTGTCACAGAACGTCTTCAAAAGTCRCGGAGGGGCTGAGGCTGGGGCTCAGCGGCAGAGCGCTTGCCTAGCGTGTGCCAGSCCCTGGGTTCCATCCCCAGCCGCACAGAAAACAAACAAAACCCAAAGGCAGCAGAGCCTGACAGTGGTGTCTGCGGGCGGGCGTGGGAGGGTGGTGAGGGGTCTCCCTCTGGGAGCTGCCCTAGGACAGGGGGAGGCGTACTACCTCTGTCACCACGGGCCCTGAGAGTCCCATACTGAGGCACGACAGGATCGGGGGCTTCCCTTTTCCTTCTCTTTCATGAGTTTGTCATGGAAAGGGAGGAGTTGGTGTGGGGAGAAGAGCTCCGGGTGGGAGGGCCACTCCGGACCCTCCTTCTCTGACCTCTGGAACAGTCTGCCATGTGTGGAGAACTCAGGCAGTCCTCATYTCAAAGGGGGAGCAGTGGGCCCTGCCCTGGGACAGACTGGCAAGCCACCGCTGCCTGTYGTCTCACCTGGGGAACCTACCACGGTACCACCTACCAAGTACCTGACCACCAAGTACCTAGCCTCATCACTGGGCAACTTGCTTACCTTACCTCAGGTAAGTTACCACCAAGTACCCTGCCTTATCACCAAGTACCCTGCCACCAAATACCCTGCCTTATCACCAAGTACCTGACCACCAAGTACCTAGCCTCATCACTGGGCAACTTGCTTACCTTACCACAGGTAAGTTACCACCAAGTACCTTTCCACCAAATACCCTGCCACCAAATACCCTGCCTTATCACCAAGTACCTGACGACCAAGTACCTTGCCTCATCACTGGGCAACTTGCTTACCTTACCACTGGTAAGTTACCACCAAGTACCTTTCCACCAAATACCCTGCCNACGACCAAGTACCTTGCCTCATCACTGGGCAACTTGCTTACCTTACCACTGGTAAGTTACCACCAAGTACCTTTCCACCAAATACCCTGCCTTATCACCAAGTACCTGACCACCAAGTACCTTGCCTCATCACTGGGCAACTTGCTTACCTTACCATGGGTATGTTACCACCAAGTACCCTGCCACCAAATACCCTCCTTATCACCAAGTACCTTGCCACCAGGTGCTTTTACTGGCCCCAGCCTCTTCCCACCACCCAGGAGAGAGACGCAGCACTCACCCAGGACCAGCAGGCGGACRCGTGACTTGGAGGTGCCCACCATGTCTGACAGCAGCGAGACGGAGCACTCGTAGGTGCCGTTGTCATCCATGGTCAGCTGGTCGATGGTGATGGAGGCGTCCGACTGCCCAACATGGCTGGATATGTTGACACGATTCTCATAAAGCTCGCCGTAGATGTAGCTTTGGGTCTTAAATGTCCAGATGACCACTCTTTCCTGAGAGGAATAAGAAATGCCACCTGGTCCTCTCCCCYAAGGCCCTGACCTGGGCCTGTCCTTGGTGGCCCTGATTGGCTCCCCCGAGACCCCAGAGGCACAGACATGCAGGCCCCTGGGACCAGAGCCAGCGCAGCTGCCCGTTGGTGGTGCCTTCAGCTCCTGTCCCTCTGGGAGGTCTAGGATTCACCTTAAGTGGAAGGACTGGAACCCTTGGAAAGGGCAGGGCAGTTCAGCCCCGGGGCACTCCTGTGGCAGCGGGCTTTCTGGGATCCCTGGGGCCTCTCTGGCTGATCACCCGCCCCTTGTCTCCCCCCTGCAGTCAGACGGGCCGTGCTGACTGAGCACCTGCCGCGAGAACCACCCAGGGCTTCCGACTCACTTTCTTTTCTGTTTTCTTTTACTTCATTTTTATTTTTTTGATACTGAGGATTGAACCCAGGGGCACTCAACCCCTGAGCCACATCCC